CTCAACAGAACACATGACCATAACACAAGGCACAGATCACTCTTTGATGTTCCTCGTGTCCATCTCACACTATGCAAAAACTCAATGCACATAAAAGGCCCTAAAATCTGGAATTCATTACCTGTAAATATAAAAGAAACACTACCTGTTTATAAATTCAAGTCTCTACTCAAAGATCACTTACTCACCCAAAACCAAATAAATACTGAAAAACCCTGAACCTTATAAATTGTATATCTTAAATGGTTTCTCACAATTATATCAAAATAAATGTTAAACCTAAAACCGAATCTAACTTTATTATTTTTTAAATACACTACCTAACAGAATACTTCATATGACTGAATGCAACCATATGACCTGTCTTTGTAATACTCACTTGCTTTATAATAATCTGTTTACATTAATGTTTTATCACTGATTTCATCATTGCTTAGTTAATCTTAAGTTAATTTTAAGCCAGCCCGTAATGCTATGCATAGTATAAGTGGCTTTGGCATGCTGCTCTTATCTGTATTTTTTTTTGTACCTCTGTATGTGTGCTCAAATTAATAAATAAATAAATAAATAAATAAATAAATAAATAAATTTCATACTTTTCAAGTCATTACCTTCAGTAAAAATTATCTTCCATTTCGGAAGATTTTTTTCCTTTAAAAAAAAAATGGACACTGAGAGCATTATTAATTATGGGGTGTCGACAGTGAAAAGTCTACATGTACTAGCACAGTACAATGCAGTAGAGTACAGTACGATAATTTTATTATCTTTTCCAGTGGATAAATGAAGTAACAGATGTACAGCAAAGTAAAGTATTGGTGTGTGGTTTAGTGGTGAAGTAGAATAATTTATTGTGACTCAGAGGAACTTTACAGTAACAATGTAGATGGTGTGGCAGACACAGGTAGATGGTTCATCAGGTATAGATGGTGTGGCAGACACAGGTAGATGGTTTATCAGGTATAGATGGTGTGGCAGACACAGGAAGATGGTTCATCAGATGCAGATGTTTACTTGAGATGAACAACAGCATTGAAGCTCTTTGTTTACACTCCATATTTAATACCACCATTAAAATTGTACAGTAGGGCCCCACTTATATGGTGGGTTAGGTTCCAGGCTATCGTTGAAAAGCAGACATTGCCAAAAAAGCAGACATTGCCGAAAAGCAGAACTCCATTTTTTCCATTTATAAATGCATATAAATGCCAGACAACAAGTTTACACTAAATTATATTAAGTTAGTAATAGAACTAGGTATTAAAAACACACTAAGTAAAATACATACACAGTACATTCATTACTTATCTTAAAGTATTTGTAATCTTAATGTAAGTTGAGAGGTGAGCAGTACTTATTTGTAGGAAGTCAGGTGTAGGTAGCCCTGGCTCCCCATCTCATACTTAATATACAACATATAAAACAGCCCTGAGAGTTAAAATACACATACAGTACACTCATTATTTACCTTAAAATATGTGTAGTCTTAATGTAGGAAGATAGGTGAGTAGTATTTATTTGTAGAAAGTCAGAGCAGCTACCTACACTGTGACCCAGAGCCATATTATTAGCATTGTCATCCCTTGTTCACTGAATTTAATCGTTTCTAACTACCTTTAGATGCCATCATAAACGAAGGGAGAAGTATTGAATAATTCATGCCAAAAAATTGTAAACAAAAGTGGAGTGGGGGAGTGGATGGACGAAACACAGATTCATACACGTTTTCTCTGCTGCCTGACCAGAGATAACGTAATGTTGTCCCTCTGCCCAGCTACTACATAGGTCCACAAGTATTATTATCATAGTACATATAAAATATGCAATAAATGCCAGACAACAAGTTTACACTAACTTATATTAAGTTAACAATAAAAATAGGCATTAAAAACACAATAAAAGGTAAGATACACACAGAGTACACTTATTACTTACCTTAAAATATTAATATTAATGTGAGAGGTGAGTGGCAGGGTATTTATTGAATAAAATCAGAATGGCACACCATCATCCTCTAACTTGGCACTTAAAGCAAGCTAGAGGGCTTAGAGACTCCCTTTCTTTATTCCGTCACAAGCTGGGACCCTTCGGGAAAATTGGTATATCTCTCGTCATTTTTTGAGAAGCCAATTAGTAAGCGGAAAGGAGTAAACCGGGAAGAAAGAGCTACGGGGTTCCAAACCCAAGGGGTTTAAATTTGAACACCAACACTGAAAAAGGAAATTTGTGGGCATCACAGTGGTCAGGAAACTTTAAATGCTTTAACAATGCCCGGGCCTCTTTTAGTTCATTCACGTACTTTTGTAAGACTTTGTAAAACTTTTACCTCAAAATTACTATTATCATAATTAAAAAGCACTAAACCCACAAGGGTTGTGAATTGCTATATTTAAAGTGAAGGCATACAAAACTAATATTTTTCTACAGTTATCCCCCAGTGTTTGACTAGAGAAAACGTAATTCTTCCGACACTACCTACACAGCCACTTTGTAAACAAATCTTATATGTCAATTTTTATTCTGTTAGTGTATCATGTTTATATGCTGTGAAACATGTTTCTTATATAATTTTGAGGAAAATATCATAGATGGATTAATGAAAAGGTTAATATTAATGTAAAATAAGACATTTGATGTGCCCAAGAGTGATTATTATGTAGTATTGGCATCATGAATAGAGAGACTCTTAGTGATTTTAATGTGTACCTGCACACCAGCACAGTGTGTAAGTATATTTAGGTACACCTACCATACGACTTATGACCTGCTCGACATACGACCATTTGACTTATGACCGTGTTTTCTATGCCAAATTTCGAGGAAATAAACAACCTTTCAGTATAAAATGCAGTACTAACAGCATAAAAAGTAAAGTAAAAAATTGAATACCAAAATAAAACAAAATAAAGTCATTACAAAACTGTGATGTTCATATTCAGTAGTAAGGTTTAACTCACATCCATTTCGACTTACGACTGGTTTGTCGGAACCAGTCTCGGTTGTAAGTCGGATGATACCTGTACAGGTACACATAAGTATAATTATCAGAGTACATATAAAATACGCAAATAACTTTAACCCTTTCAACGTCGAGAGGCCCTCTCCTAAACTAATTCTCAGGGTTGATAATTTTTTGAAAAAAAAAATGATTTTTTCTTATGAAATGACAGAGAATATTTTCCCGATCATAATGACACCAAAAGTATGAAATTTGATGGAAAAGTTACGGAATTAAGCTCTCACAAAGTTAGCGGTCTCAACGATGTTGACCCATCGGCAATTTCACCCACTTTGAGCTCTGCTTTCAGCCAATTTCAGTGTACTAGTCGACAAAAGTCATATCTATTTCACTAGAACTCCATCTTTTCTATCGAATGAGTACAAGAAACCTACCATTTACTGATTTCAAGTATCCAATAAAGTGGTCAGAAATTGGCAATTTTGCCAATTTCACACAAATTTCAGAAGATGCCAATTTCCAAATAGGGTCCAGAATAAGCAAGACAGGCATTCCTGACACTAAAATAACATTTTCTCTGTTCATTAGTTATGTCCTCAGGCCCCTCTTACATCTCTTTTGCTTTCGATTTTTAATTTTTATTCTCACAAAAAATAGAAGATTTACTCTTATGCAGACTACTGCATTAGTGTAGAAATGGTGTCAAAATGGTATAAATAATATCAGTGCACTTGTGAAAGAATATTAGACTTACCAGTTGACATGTATTGGACGCTTGACATGATTTGTTTACTTTTGAAATTTGGTAAAAATCGAACGTTTCTGCTACTTTGAGCTCAATTTCAAGGTACTTTTCATTATGACACCAATCAAAACCATCTCCATTTCTGTAATATGTTTTCCATTCTATAAAATGAGATCAGGAAAACTAGAATACCACCATAAATACCATACGATAATACACTGCAAAGTCACCGTTTTAAGCCAAAAACATGGTCGAAGTTTGTTTTTCTCATTGTGCACTGTGTGCTGCAGGATTTTTTTATACTGTGCATACTTACCACATAGACCCATTCTTTCATATGTAGGCCTACCAGCTTTCTCTCACTAGATTTGAAGGCGCTAGAATTTAGGCCGTTCTAGTACGTCAATAACCCTGGTGTGTAAGCCATAGTAGTACGTCAGAAACCCTGAAATTTTGGAAAGTTCCCAGACATAATAGATGTAGTCATGGAGAATGTAAAAAACCAGGTGAGGCATGCTGTATTTGAAAGACTGCTTGCCATATAGCAAATTTTGTTCATAATTTGACATCGCTGTATTAGCGGTATGCCGTAAGATGAAACACTGTAAAGCGGGGCCCTACTGTATATAGTACTTGATATACAATTCTGTTTATACTTGTATTCTATGTACAGTGAGGTATGCTATAATACAACCAAATAACAATGAAAAATTTAATATAAAATTGTGAAAAATGCATAAATGTGCATCTAAACTCTAGAAATAAAGAATACCATTAATACTTGTAATAAAACAAATTAGTACAAAAATAATAAGAAAATACTGTATTTTACCCTAGTTTCATGTTGCTGAGCTTGCAGGACAGGAGGCAGAGGAGAGAATTAATGTTTATGTAAATATTTGTTGTATTAATTGTTTGTTACAACATACCTCACTGTATGTGGTGTAATCTTTATTTATATTCAGCAGCTGCAGAATCAGTAAATAAGAGAAGAATATTTAGAAGCTGAAAAATTTCAGTTGTAGCAACAAGAAAAATTTGGTATTCATAATTCATGATGCCCATGGAACATAAACCTGCACGTTAACCCTTGAACTGTCCAAACATAGATCTACGCTCACTCGAGTAGCACTCTGAACGTAGATCTACCTAGCACGTAAAATCGAACATACATCCACGTTCGGAGCGCCATTTGAGTGAGTGTAGATCTACATTTGGACAGTTTAAGGGTTAACCTTCATTTATAAAAATAATTGTCTGTATTAAGCACAATTAAAGATGTTTATCCCAACACAGGGAGCATTACATCCAGTGCCCATTGATTACCAACCAAAAGCAACTTGCTGCCTGGTCCCACTGCTGGGCCACTGACCACAGGCAACTTCTTGGCCAGTCCCACTGCGGGAATTACTGACCACAGGCAACATCTTGGCCAGTCCCACTGCTGGACCACTGACCACATCGCACTCAGTTCCACCGACAGCAAAGTTTCACTCACGGACCATTGAGGATGGTAAGCTAATTTTTATATTTGGATATTTTCACTCATTTATATCTGAAAAGGTAGAGCTCCAGCTCTTGATAACTGCCTTTGCTCATCATTTATTTGTAAGGTAATCATTAGATATAAATATTTTTTATAATAATGATATTTTGATTTGACATGATACAGTGGACCCCCACCAACGAAGGCATCGTCTAACAAAAAAAGCACCCAGCAAAGCATTTTAGCGTAAAAATTTTGGCCCAAAAACTCGACTAACAGCATTTGTCCCAAATGTGTCTGCCTGTCTGTCCAGCTGAGCATGCCTCAGCTGTCTTGCCTTCACCTAGTGTGCCATTGTTTACAAGCCAGGGTGGACGGTTTCACGCATACATGCGATATATTTTGTATTATTCCATTGTTTTTAGTGCTTGTAACTGCTAAATAAACTGCCACGGGCCCAAAGAAAGCTTCTAGTGCCAACCCTGTGGTAAAAGGGTGAGAAATGCTATTGAAATACTATTGTACCATGGTCATCTGTTGCTGCACCACCATCAGCTGCTGCTCCTGCACCATCATCAGCTGTTGCTGCACCACTGTCAGCTGCTGCTGCACCACTGTCAGCTGCTGCTGTACCATCAGCTGCTGCTGTTCCACGGTCAGCTGCTGCTACACCACCATCAGCTGTACTACTCGAAGATGTGGAGAGAGTGTTGTTGATGTGGATTAATGAGAAACAATCACTGAGAAACAACTCCAGAGGGTTAGCCACCCAGGATAACCCAAGAAAGTCAGTGCATCATCGCGGACTGTCTAACTTATTTCCATTGGGGTCCTTAATCTTGTCCACCAGGATGAGACCCACACCAGTCGACTAACACCCAAGTGAACAGGAAAAAATGCCTCAAACTAGTGCTCATATTGTTGAATTTAAGGCCAGCAAAGGTTGGTTTGAGAGATTTAAGAATCATACTGGCATACACAGTGTGATAAGGCATGGCAAAGCTGAAAAATTCCAACCCCAAAAAGTATTCAGTTGTGATGAAACAAGCCTGTTCTGGAAGAAAATGCCAAACAGGACCTATATTACTCAGGAGGAAAAGGCACTCCTAGGACACAAGGCTATGAAAGACAAACTAACTCTCATGTTTTATTGTAATGCTAGTGGGGATTGCAAAGTGAAGCCTTTACTCATGTATCCTTCCAAAAATCCCAGAGTGTTCAAGAAAAACAGTGTCTCATTACTCATCAATACTCTTTAATGAAGGTAAGTGTCATTTTAGCATTTATTTATGCAGTTTTTGTTCATGTCTCATTGTTTTCTTTGTAGGGAAATGTATATTTCATGAAAAAAAATTTTTTTTTTAATACTTTTGGCTGTCTGTAAAGGATTAATTGGATTTCCATTATTTCTTATGGAGAAAATTAATTCGACTAACGATAAATTCGCATAAAGATAAGCTCTCTGGAACAGATTAATATTGTCGGTCGAGGGTCCACTGTATATGTTTGTACAAAGGAGAATAATAGTTGGGTGTACATGCCAAAAGCCCTTTTGTATGCAGAGCATTTCAGGCAAACTTAAAATTAACTTAAGATTAATAAGACAATAACAGTTCATATGGTAATTAGATGAGTTACAATGAATACAAGAGAACTGAGTATCCTGTTGGGTAGTGCTATGTGGCTTTAATAACACTAGTAGAGAAGACATACAATTTTAATTACAGTGGACCCTAGGTTAACAG